CGGGAGGTGGGCGGCGCGGGCCGGGAAGATGGCGGAGAGGCCTCGCTGCGGCCCCACGGCCAGGCCCGGGCGGAGGCCCCCAGTACGGTCATGCTAGGAATCGGGGCCCCAGGTGACCCGGTCGGGGAGGGTCCGCGCGAGGGCGCCGCCGCCGAGGGCCAGGAAGTGTGAAGGCGGGTTTGCGTGAGAGAACCGACCGGAGGGTGGGTGTGAGTGTGCCTGGTCTGCATGCGTGCCCGGCCTTTGGATGGGTGTGAGTGCGTGTGTGTCTCTACCAAAGGTAGTTGCTCTTTGCTTGAGGTGGCTGGGATTGTGATGAACCTGAAGGTGGGTGTGAGGTGTGAGGGTGACTGGCCTGCAGACAGGTGTGTGGAGTCAGCCCGAGGACAGGTGTGTGTTCTGTGGCCAGGCCCCGAGCCGGTGTGCATGTTCCTGTCCTTCCTGCGCGCTGGGCTCGCGTCCGTTTGCTCTGTGTAGTCGGGGTGGTGAGCGATGATGCTTGCCGGGCGAGGATCTTGCGGGCCAGGCTTTGTCCGCAAAGCCCGGGAGTCGGTGGGCGTCTCTGGGTCGGGTCATGGCTTGCTTGCTCGTGGTGCGCCCTGGCTTCGCGGCTGGGCCTCTGCGGCAGGCTCGGGTGGTCCTTTACCCGGCCTTTCGGTCTTGGAACTTCGTGGGCGCCTGCTGTTAGCAGGCGTGGGGTGGGTGGGGGCTGCGAGCCGGCAGGCTGTGCGTCCTGACCAAGCTGTCTTTATTTTAAAACGTGCTGCCCGCTTCGGGCGCGGCAGCTGTGGGTGTGTTCCATGCTGCTGCTCACCGCAGCTGCTGTGGGCGCTACGCAACCTTCAGCCGCAAAAATGCGGCTGGGCCCCCTCCCCCTTCAGTGTTGTTCGGGTTGGCCAGGCCTCCAGTGACCTCTGCAGAAAAACGTACAGTTGCAAGGCTTCAGTTCCTCCCGTGGTGCAGACAATACGGACGTTTGTCTTTGGGAGCTAGGGAGGGCAATTGAGCACTGCGTCCTGGGCGCAGTCTGTAAACAGCAGGTGGTTTTGTCCGTGGCTCCCCCTTTTACAAGCGAGGGGGATGGGGATTAGAAAGAGGAGAGGTGTGACTGGATAGTCAGGAGAGCCAGTCTTTAAGGGATTCAGACTGCCTAAGAGGAAATGTAGAGGTGGCTCCTTCCAGCTTGTGGTCTAATCAGCTGTCTTGCCAGAGGCTGAAGCAGAGTGAAATTGAGTGCTGGTTCTGGAGCCAGACTGACCGCCCTTGAGTCATGACTCCTCCTTTACTGGCTTTGTGGTAATAGGTAAGATCTCTTTGCCTTTGGTTTCTTGGCTATAAAATGGGTACACTAATAGTACTGGTCTTAGAATGCTGTTGTGAGGACTCTGTGACTTAAGACTTGTAAAATTTTCACGCCTAGAAGTTTGAGTGTCAGGAACCGTTCTTGCTACTAAGTTGCAGGCTGTCAGGGTTAGGTGTGTGTGGGTTGGATTGGGTGCTACAGAGTGCGTAAGCTAAAATATTTTTTTTTTGTTTTTAAATTTTGATTTAAATAGGGTTTTGCTGTGTAGCGCAGGTAGGATTCAAACTCATAATCTTGTCTGGCATGCATTGCCATGCTTGGCTTAAAACATCTTAATTGTGTGTGTGTGTGTTGCGAGTGCACATGCGCGTGCGCGTAGGCATGCGCCAGCACTGGCATATAAAGGTCAAAGGGTAACTTTTAGGAGTTGTTTCTCACCACCTACCATATGGTTTCCAGGGACTGAACTGAGATCAGAGTGCCTTTTCACACATAGCCATCTAGCTGGCTGGAAGCAAATTGTTATAAGGGTAAAACAACCAATTTCATACTCTTAGATCAATTGCATAGAATTTTTTTAAAAGTATTTTTGGAAAGCAAACAAACATCTCGTGAACTACCATAGACTACCACAGTACTGACTGGGATAGATGAGATGGTGTTGCCAGAAAAAAAGGTGTATGCAGTTCCTGGGTAATGTGAGTCAGGCCCGCAGGGCCATTTTGTACTTCACTGTGTTGCCTTTGAATTAAGAAAGGTAATTTTATTAAAATGAACTTTGACACTGAAGATGTCAGTCACAGAATGAGAGCTTGGCGTCACTTGCACAGTATGTGCCTTGGTTAGTTATTGGAAGACAAGACAGGCTGTGAAGCAAAGTGAGGGGGATTGCCACTTTCCCCAAGGATCTTCTTATCACTTTCCCTTTATCTCAGATTTACTTTGTGTGTTTCTAGACAGTTTCCCTCCTTAGCCTTGGCTATCCTAGAACTAGCTCAGTAGACCAGGCTGGCCTCACACTCACGGAAATACGCCTGCCTTTGCCTCCTGAATGCTGAGATTAAAGGCA